CTAATCGTCAACTAGCTCAGACAGTGACAAACCAAAACCAGACGTCCAATAGTGTTGCAGAGAGTGAGATTGCAAGTTTAGCTGGTGGAAAGATCCGCAGTGGATCCTCAGTTGCATCGACAACGTACACCACTCCAAAACAACAGGTCAGGCAAGTGCGCATGTACCATGTTGCAACTCCAACGAACACAAGTTCACCCATGATGTTCGACATCAAGAGCGAAGGTGGTGACAGCTGGATCTATGATGACAACTATCAGATCAACACCGTCTACTTTTCAATGGATGGTGAGTCGGATTGGGATGAACAAGATTTCCAGCATGATAAGACTTGGAGGTGGTACATGGATGCACACTCACGCAGGTATGCCTTGACTGAAGCTGAACTGGAACCAACAGAAACCTTCTATGTCTGCACGGTGCGAGAGAGCCAACAGAAGACATTGATTGTCTTGGATTCTGGAGCTGACATTAGACTTCTTCCACAATCGATGGCACACTATGGACGAGCAAGCAAGATGGGCAAGGCAGTCCTTGAAGATGCTCAAGGAGGCAAGTTGACCACGTTTGGAAAGAAACTGGCACAGATTGAATGTGATGGAGAAGAAGCAATGGTGATCATCGAAGATGATTTTGTAGTGGCTTCTGTGCAGTCTCCTTTGATTAGCCTGGGGAGGCTACTACAACGTGGTTGGCGCTTGATTCCTGGCAGTGGTGAGGCTGGTGTGCACCTACAGGCTCCTGATGGACTATGTTCCATTCCGTTGCACTTCAAGAGAAATTCCCTAGCTCTTTACGGCAACATTAGCCGAGTGACCCATGAACCGAATGAGGTGCAAGGAGAAACCGGTGGACAAGTCTTTGATGACAATGAGACTCTGGTGGTGCGTGTGGTGGTGAAGTGGCATGACAGTTTCTGGGAGAACTATGGCCTTCGAGCTTGGAAGACAACTCCAGAAGGAAATCCAGTCAGGTTCGCCTACGAGACGAAGAACTTTGTCGATGGACAGTTGATGTGGAACTTGAACTGGTGGCCTCTTCGTTCCACCCTCATCCGGAAAGAAGATGATACTTGGGAAGTGGTTGAGCATTGCAACCGCTACTATGTCCAGGATGAACCAGACGGTGAGATCCCCGAGTGTGGAGGAGAGACAACACAGACCCTCACAGTGCTTCATCGAAAGAAAGAACCCATCAGTTTCTTTGGCAGCTTGATTGGTGAGCAGACCGTGACTGCAGGTGGAGCACAGATTGAGGAGGACAGCTTTCAATTTGCAGCAGAACCTTCAGTGCCACTTGAGCTCAATCCTCAACATGAAAAGATTCCAGAAGAAGTTGATCAACAAGATCATGGTGAGCTCTGGGAAGGACCTTTACCCTTCTTTGAGAACCGAGAAGTTCTGGTGGTAAATGGCGCTGAGTTGCATGAGACGAGTTCCTTGTCAGTGCTGCGTGAAGCTGCAGAGTTCTTAGGCATTGGACGTGGTGGCTCAAAGCACTCCCTCTGGACGAGATTGAATCAACAAGTCCAGAAACTTGAGAACCAAGAGCTCTTCCTGATTGCCAACAAGTTGTACAAGGAGGAGAGCCATCATCGAGGACTCAGGTCTTTGCAGGTCCCACGTCAACCCTCTGAAGAAGAGAGGCAACTTCACAACCTGACCCACGTTCCTTTCAGGGCATGGTGTGACTTCTGTGTGGCTTGCAAGAGCAGAGATGATGCTCAACGACCTCTCTCGATCGAGGAGAAGATGAAGGGAGAAGAGCAATTCCAGCGATCCAGTTGGACTATGCCTTTGGACGCTCAAGGCAAGAGGGGAAGACTCCCCCAGAGAGTCTTGTGACCATTCTGGTCGGAGTGGATGCAGAGACAAGGATGATGCTTGCAGTTCCAGTTGAAGGAAAAGGTGATGACCTCCGAAACCAAGCAGAGCATGTAGTGCGCTTTAGCCTTTCCTTGAACCAGTATGGCAATGTGGAGATGATTGGTGACAGTGAGCCAACAATGAAGGCTTTGCTGAGTTACGTGAAGACCCTGCGCCAAGGACTGGGTCTCGAGACAACCATCACCTTCAGCATGAAGAAAGGCCAAACAAGTCGAGTTGAGAGAGGCATCCAAACTTTGAGGCGACAAGCATCGACCTTGATGGAAATGTTGCAGGACCAATGCAAAATCAACCTGGCAGGTGACCATCCTCTTTGGCAGTGGGCCTATCTGCACGCAGCTTGGATCTTGAACAGATTTGCGTCCCACAGAGCAATTCAAGCTTCACCCTATGAAGTTGCTTTTGGAAGACGATACTGTGGGAAAGTCGTTTGCTTTGGAGAGTATGTCATGATCCTCAATCGACAGCCTGGTGCAAAACAAGGTCCACAATGGTTGCCTGGAGTGTGGGTTGGAAAGACACATGAAGATGATCTTCGCCTGGTTGTGGGGCATAATGGCCTGCTAAGAGGCAAAGCTATCCGAAGAACTTCAGAGCCTTGGAGATCGGTCTATGTTTTCCTGGTGAAAGAGAAACCATATCGAAATCCTCACATTCGACGTCCATTGAAGCTGATGCCTGCAACACCTATGATTCCTCGTGGTGTACGAGGACCTGGAAGACCGAAAGGTAGTGGCAACACAGGTGGAGGATTGAAGACACCAGCGCCAGGAGACATTGACTCCTTTCAGAGAGACCAGGATGCAGACGATGTGGAGCGCTATGCGCGTGAGCATGCAGGCACAGACAGCCCCATGGAGGAGAAGAAGCACAAACACAAGAGTGATGGCCAGCATGAAGATGAACCGGCAGACAAGTTCCTTTGTGTCCCCTCTGCCAATGGGCATGGATGAAGAAGAAACAGAGGTTGGAAAGAGAAGACCTAGCACACCTGAGGTCAAGTTGCCTTTGACTCCTCGACGAAGTGAAGAAATGGTTGATGATAGCAAGGTAGATGAACCTCAGCAGAAAGCAGCAAGAAGAGATCCAGCAAGCAGTCCCTCAAGTTTGCATAAGCCATACTTTGCTGGAGATGTTCGACAGGTGCAGCATCCAGTGAATGATGAACCTTGGGAGGAGGAAATGGAATCCTTCATTGACCATGGGGCTACCCAAGATTGGGATCCACTCGACATCGATGCCTTGGACGAAGGATGTCCTCCTGAGGTGAGCGAAGAAGAGTTGAGGGTGATTGAGGAAGCAGCTGTACATGAAGAGATTCACAGATTGCTGCAGATGGGTGTGCTCAGAGATCCAACCGAAGAAGAGTTGATGACTGGTGACATTCTGACAACAAGAAGTGTCTTTGATTGGCGCGTGAGAGAAAGGAAATGGAAGCGCAGGTGTCGTTTTGTGGCACGAGAGTTCCGTGGTTCAGATGGATCTACATCCAAGACCTTTGCACCAACAAGTTCACTGAGCGGGACTCGCCTTCTTCTTTCAACACATGTGCTTCTTGGTTGGAAGATCATGTTTGTCGACATCAAGGATGCATTCCTCTTAGTTCGACAACAGAAACTTGTGCTGGTAGAGCAGCCAGACTGGTGGAACCCCAAAGGTGACTTGGAGATGGGAAGAAAGCGCTACTGGACACTTGCACGATGCTTGCCAGGTCAACGAGATGCCGCAGCACGATGGTATGAGTTCCTTGCAGACAATTTGATGAAGTGGGGCTTCAAGAGCCATTTGAGCTTGCCTTCTTTGTTTCGCCATGAAACTAAGGCAATAGCAGCTGTTTGCCATGTTGATGACCTCATCATTGCTGGCGAGGTGGAGTCTTTGGAATGGCTGCTTAGCTCTATGAAGGATGAGTTCACCCTGAGTGAGTCAGGGATCCTTCCACGTGCTGACCAGTCGGAGGAGGAAGCAGTGCGGTGCCTAAAGAAGCGTCGCTACTTCACAAAGGATGGCATTGTGATCATGCCTCATGAGAAGTACATTCCTGCTTTGGTGGAACTTTATGGTTTGGAGAAGAAAGCAGGCAAGGCAACTCCAGAAAGCATGCAGGTTGAACTTGAAGGCAGTTCTGACGAACTTCTAGAAGGAGCTGACCAATTTCGCTTTCGCTCAGCTTTGGGAACTTTACTCTATGTGAGTCAAGACCGGGTCGACATCCAACATTGCATTCGCAATTTGAGCCAGTTCATGGCAAGACCCACGAGAAAGGCTGAGATGGAGATCAAGCATGCTATCCTCTAGCTGAATTCCTTGCCTCGGCTGGTGGTGTGGCAGAGGCAATCCAAGTGAAAGATCTCTGGCAGTTCATAAGCAGAAGAGCAGTGCTGATCAAAGCAATCACCGATAGCAGTTCCTGCCGGGCATTCACGGAGAGACTTGGAGTTGGCAGGTTGAAACACATCGACATCAAGTACCTTTGGATGCAGCTTGAGGTCAAGAAAGAAACCTTGAAGATGGAAGGCATTCCAACTTTGTGGAACGTCGCGGACTTGGGGACCAAACGCCTGAGTCCACAACGGCGTGAGTTCCTCATGTACTTGATCGGCCTCATGGAGATGCAAGCAGAAGGAAGAGAAGAGTTTTTAGATGCCTTCAACAAGGAAATGGAAAGGAAAGTGCTTGCCAAGAAGATGAAGGAGGTGAAGAATGAAATGGTTCAAGCAGTGTTCACTGATGACAGCAGTCATGGCACCAAGATCCCAACGAACCTGGTGAGAGCAGTGACTTTGATGCTCCTACATCGAGAAGTACAGGGAGAAGAAGTTTCTGCAGCTCGTGAACTACCATCTGGATGGACACTTTTCCAGATTGCGGCGGTCTACACCATGGCAGTGTTTGCCTTTGGTGTGTACATGGGCTACAGGTACAGGATGAAGATTTCCATTTGCTTCAGAACCTGCTGCAGATTTCTTCGACAAGAAGTGACGATGGAGTTCCAACGTGAACAAGACCTACGTGATCAGGTTGGGACGATCATGCGAGCAAGCATGGCTGCTGGAATTGGAGAATGGCATCCAGATCCTGAACCTCGAATTTATGAGCCTCTACTACCCCAAGGTTCCAGAGATGAAGGAGAAGAAGCAGATGAGGCGAACCCTGAAACAAGGGCGATGGATGATCCTGACGGAGATGGACAAGCAGACTCAGAACCAGAAGCAGAAAACCAACCGGGGAACATCGAATGGATGGGTAGTTGGCTCACAGACTGGAATCCTGAACTTGGACGACTACAAGAATACAGAATCCTGGAAAACTCAGATGATGCTGAAAGTGGTGAAGAGTACTTCATGAGCAATCCTCTGGGAGGATACCAAAGGAGATATCGCCCTAGCCAATCCGAAAGAGATGAAGCAAGCCCTATGGAGATTGATGAGACCGAGATTGATGAGCAGCTCAGACGAAGTGCCGAACGAGCTGAAGAACGAGCCCGCGGTGTGTGGGCTGACCCGCCTGGAGAGATACCGCCTGTGGATGAAGACTGGTGGGACTATGACACCCTGATCCGGTGGCTGAAACCGGATGAGCAACCTCGAACACGAAGGTTGAAAGAAGCTGGAATTTTCCCCAACAACCAGCTTAAGGAATTTCTGAGGACTCGACTGACGTCGATCTATGGTGGACGCTACAGTCACATGGTGTTCGACCACCTTTTGAGTTGGACACGCGAAGAACAGAAAGACTTCGCAGCTTTCAGTGTGGCCGTGATCACGAATCAGTGGGATCACGATTTCGATGGCTGCGCGAGACGGTACATAGAGACCGGCGAGGTCTGAAAAGAAAACGGTGTGGTTCCACTTCACCACACTTTTTAGGTGGAGTGTCAGAAGTTTCCACCATGACCTCGCACTTCGTGGCTCACAGTGGCCCAAGCTCAGCTGGAAAATAGACCGGCGCGCTTCGTTTGTTTTTCACTATGGAATCATGGCGTGATTCTGCGGGAAATCGTGGGTTCGATTTGGGAGATGGGATGGAATGCTTATTGGACCTCCGGCTTGCCGACGACATTTTTTGGTTTGCGGCTACAAAGGAAGAACTTGCAATGTTTTTGGGGGCTTTGGTGGAAGAATTGGCGGGCGTCGGACTACTTCTGAATCCTGCCAAAACTGTGGTGTTGACAAATCAAGCGCGATCCCCTGAGAAGTTGTTCACGCAGAAAGGTGTATCCTTTAAACTACTTCCACCTGAAGAGGGTCAACGCTGGCTCGGGTGCATGCTAACAAGGTTCTGCCGGCCAGGATGCAGATCTTACATATCACTTACAGCAAGCGACGAAAGCTTTTTGGGCCAACAAACACGTTCTTCTTCTCGATCATCAAGCTGGAGTTAGGAGCCGGTTGAAATATTTTGATGCGTGTGTTTCCTCGGGCACAGAACAATTTACAAAAAACAACTGGAAAAAATTGACGTGACTTTTCGGAAGCTTTGCCGGAGCATCGTGCGTGCACCTTCACGGTCCGATTGGTCAGATGAATGGCTTGACATTTTGCATTGTTGGAACGAACGTCTGGCGGGGTGACCGACCCGCCCCCGAGCGTGGCCTCATCGCGTTGGGGACGCCGATTGGCCCCCCCCGCGTTCGTCGCGGCCTCTTCTGCCGCTCGCCTGGAGGGCGCGCAGGGCCTCCTCGACTTGCCCGACCTGCAATGCGCCTGGCTCCTCCTCTTGTATTGCGCTGCGCCGCGGGCCCAGCACCTGCTCCGGACGCTCCCGCCCGACCTGAGTGCCGGGTATGCCAATGCCCACGACCAAGCAATCTGGGATACCCTCCAAGTCCTCTTGGGGGGGAGCCCCACGCCAGACTCCGCAGCCTGGGCCGCTGCCCGCCGACTTACGTTCTTGCCGCAATCTGATGGAGGCTTGGAGGTGCCTTCTGCGGTTCTCACCGCGCCCGCTGCGTTCTGGGCCGACTCGCTGCCCATCATCCACGCGCGATGGCCCGGGGTTGCGGAGCGGTGCGTTGGGGAGCTGGTCTCCGGTTCGCGGGCTCCGTCCCTCCGCGCGGGGGCGGGAGAGCTGTTGGACCGTGCGGGTTTCTCGCCCGGCATGGCGCGCGTGCATGCGCCCCGACGCGCAGCCACGTGATGAGCTGTCCCCCTGAGCCCGCGTCTTGCGCCCTTCTCTCCGCTTACCGCGAGCGCGACGTGTTGCCTCCTTTGGCCCCTCCTAACCTGGCGCTCCTCCGGTCGCAGGCGGGTCACACTCCGGGGCTTGGCTCCGGGGCCTGGGCTTACGCTTCCGCCGTCTGAACTTCACCTCAGCCTCCGGCGCTGCTTGGAGCAAGCATGGATCCGGGTCACACGGGAAGCCCTCGGCCCAGAGGGGCGAGTAGTCCCCCAGCAGTGGCTCTCCCACACCACAGCTCCCGGGGTGTGCCCCGCCGACCGCCGCCGACTGGACCTTGTCGTTTACGGCGCGTCGCGCCTTGGTGAGGCCCTATGCTGCGACGTCACGCTCGTGTCGCCACTCCGAGCGGACGGCCGCCCCCACCCAGGCGCTGCCCGCCAGGATGGGCGCGCCATCCACATTGCGCGGAGGCGCAAGGAGGCTCGGTACCCGGAACTTATTGCCTGCGCGCCGCAGCGCCTCGTGGTTTTGGCGTGCGGCGGAGTGCCAGGCCTATCTCCGCACGCTGGCCCGCCTACGAGCTCCGCGCGCCCCGCCGGCGGTGCGCGTCGCAGCCCAGGCAGGGTGGCATCGACGCTGGTGGGGTCTTCGAGCTGCGCGCAGCAGCAGCGGGATGGCTGGACTGCCCGGGTTTCTTCGGCGACATGGTGAAAACAGTGGCTTTCCACGACAATGGCTCTACCTGGTTGCACAAGTGCAACACTCATTGCGAAAATTCAGTTGGAATGTATTTCACAAGTTCTGCAGCTAGCTTTATCCGTTTTCAACCTGCCAATCGCTCGATGCAATTCTTCTGGCGTGACACCTCCTCAGAGAGCACCTGCGGTGGTTCCATGCCTTGTACTGGACCAACAAACACCAATTCCAACATGTCAGCAAATTGGTCGGGCGGAGGTTGTTGGACAGTTGGGTGTCCAAATGTTGCCGACACTTGTTTTCGCAAATCCTTCCAACTCGAACTGTTATGCAAGCAGCGTGTCAATCGATTGGATCTCCACTTTTCCACTTCTGAATGCAAACTCAGCGATTTTCGTTGTGACGGTGTTGTCGCACATCGCAACTCCAAGGAGGGTGAGAAATGTATGTACTCCAACCGGCAATGTCCACCCGCACCCACAGCTGCCAAAAGGATATGTTCCAGCGTTTTTCAGAGTCAATCCAATGTGTGAAGATGTGTGCGAATTCACTCCTATCATCTCAACCGGTTTTGTTGGTTGACTTTTCAGGAAGGATCAAGTCGTCCGCATATCGGATGTTGGTCACCCGCTCGAACCCATTGACATCAAAACCATGCGTCCACCTCTTGCAAAGTTGAATTCCATGTCCTGGTCTCGTCATTAGCCTGTTGTTTTGCCAGGCTGCTCGACCAGTGCTCACACCTCGCCCATATGTTTGCTTGATATAGCAGCGCCCACCTCTTGCCCTCACCATATTTGGTCTGCAGCTGTTGGATTCGATTGGGGTCAACTGTTGAGTGCTCCCAAATAGAACAAGCAGCTGCACCACGTGGTGATGCCAGGTGGCCCGAAAAGCTCTGCCTGACTCAAGCCACCACTCTTGTTGAGACGGGCCCTGCAAACTTAACGCATTGCATGGCTTTGACGCCTCACGGCTGAAATAATGCGATATCGGCGCATGGTGCTTGTACAGAATCCAACAACAATGTCAAACCCGGACAGTTGTTCGACCGTGGGTTCCATGTTTAGTGGTGGCCGCTGGTTGCGGCCAAAGGGCCAGAGAGTGGCTCATACCGGCCGTGCGCCTTGATCTGTTCAGGCTCTGTGAAGCCTGGCCCACCTGCGTCTCATCCACTCTGTACCTGAAGGCCGCTGACGGTGCTAGCACTGCCGCTGGTGTTCCGCCAACGCTTCCGCGCCAATCTTGACACGAACTGCAGTGACAAAACACTGATGGGACATCAAGCGGAGCGAGGCAAAATCTTTTTCATAGGCCTGGGGCTGTTGGAGGGACGGTTCACAAGGTCCCGTTCATGAGGTAACACGTTGTGAACAGGTAATACAGGGGAACAGCAATGACACTGCCAACCTTGGCTTGCTGAGCCCGTCGAGCCCGCTGAGCCTGCTGAGCCCGCTGAGCCCGCTGAGCCCCTCGAGCCCGCTGAGCCCGTCGAGCCCGCTGAGCCCGCTGACCCCGTCGAGCCCGCTGAGCCCGCTGAGCCCGCTGAGCCCGTCGACCCCGTCGAGCCCGCT